CAAAGGGGGGGGGGGGGGGGGGGGGGGGGGGTAAGAGGACATTTTTTTTTTGGGGGGGGGGGGGGGGAGGGGCGTCCCAAAAAAAATCGCAACGACTCAGTCAACCGCTAAATAAGCGGGGGGGGGGGGGTAAGAGGACACTTTTTTCGGTCTCGAAATTTGAAAAATTGACATTTTGCTCTGTTGGGGGGGGGGGGGGATAATTTTTTTTTTTTTTTTAATTAAAAAAAAAAGAAAAGAAAATTACAAAAGGGGGGGGGGTTGATGAGATAGCCACCGGTCAGTGAGCACTCTGGGTGGTCCTTTCCCTCCTAACCGAACTAGTAAAGATGGCCTTTAAGAGGTGTCAATACATACCTACTTGCAGGGGCGTACGCAGGATTTTTTCAAGGGGGGGGTTTTCCTCCCGAAAATTTGAAAATCGCGCCGGCCGAAAAGTCGCTTAGTGGGGGGGGGGGGGGGGGGGGGGGGGGCAAGCGGACACTTTTTTTTCTTTTTTTGGTCTCGAAATTTCAAAATTTGACATTTTTCTTCGTTGGGGGGGGGGGGGGTAAGGTCACCTTTTTTAGGTTAACCGTGGGTATAATTTTTTTTTTTTTTTTAATAATTAAAAAAAAAAAAAAAAAAAAAAAAAACCAAAGGGGAGGGTTTTGGTTTTTTTTAGGGGGGTTACACACATAAAAATACCAAAGGGGGGGTTTGAACCCCCAAAACCCCCCCCCCCCCCCTGCGTACGCCCCTGCCTACTTGTATTCTTGAATGGATTTTGATTTTTGATTTTGATTTTTGATTTTCGATTTTGAGTTTTGAGTTTTTTTCTTCCCCTCGTTGTATAGGGCAGCTGTTTGTCATGGAGAAGATGTTAACCTTCATCATGCTGGTAGGAGCTGGCTTCTCATTGAAATCTTCATTCTTACACCGATCATCGTTATGACAACAGCTCTTAATATTAGGATGCTGCAGATATCGATCAATCTAACCAAACGACAGATTGTCCCACGCCCTCTACGTTCGTCATCACCAATGCCATCGAAACCCCAGTTTCCTTCCATTGATACCACTACTACTAAATCCTCCTCCTCCTTTTCTTTTTCTTCTTCGCGTGCTTCTTCACCTCCTCATACTTCTTCTTTTTCTTCTACTTCTTCTCCTCCTCCCCCTCCTTCTCCTTCTCTAATTTGTTCTTCTGCATCCTCCAAAGTTCCTTCTTCATCATCCTTTCCTTTCATTTCATCCTCCCCTAGTCCTCTTGTTTCTCCGAGTCCCTCTCCTCCTGCACATCCTGCTCTTTCTCCTAATCCACCTTCCCACCCTCATCCCATCTCTTGCCCCTCTTCTCCTCCGCCACCACATAATCCACCCTCTTTCACTATTTCTTTAGAAACTCGACCTTTTCTCAATCACCCAAACGCCACTTGTTTCCATCTCTCACATGACGAGACCACGCCCAATCCGCTTACCCCTCGACCATCTCCCAGCCTTCCCAAAGACCCTTCTCCGGGATTCCCCTCCACCCCTCATCCAGCATCATCCCTCCTCAAAGAAAGAATACCGACAATTCGAATCATGCGGCATCTCGTTACCACGTCAAACGAAGCGATCGCAAGGCCCTGCGAACCATCGCTATCATCTCTGCTACGTTCTACGTCTTATGGGTCCCGCTTATTGTCTACGATATCCTGAACTTCATGGGAATCGACGTCAGGGACTATGTGACTGCAGTGAAGTTGATTATGATGGCTAGCACATGGTGGAATACATTTCTTTATATCGGTACTGACAAGAAAGTTAGAAACCACGTTTTTCATTGTCTTAAGAAGCTCATACGGTGCAAAGACAAACATAGTAACTAGAGTAACAGCCACTTAAGACTGAGTCACTGATAAGAAAGTTAGAAACCGTGTTTGTAATTGTCTTATGAAGCTCATACGGTGCAAAGACAAACATAGTAATTAGAGTAACAGCCATTTCATGAATGGGACTAATAAGAAAGTTAGAAATCACATTTTTCATTGTCTTATGAAGCTCATAAGGTGCAAAGACAAACATAGTAATTAGAGTTACAGCCATGTAATGAATGGGACTGATAAGAAAGTTAGAAATCACGTTTTTCATTGTCTTAAAAAGCTCATACGGTGCAAAGACAAAAGCAGTACTTAGTGTAACAGCCACTTAATGACTGGAACTAATAAAATCAAAGTTAGAAAGCATGTTTTTCATTGTCTTATAGCGCAGCTAAGGTAAAACAAAATAGTGTCACTAGCCTAATAAATGCTGGAGTGGAGTAACAAGGATTAAGTGCGTTAGTGTAATATGCAGCCTCCCGTTTACATTTAAAAACAGGCGTTAACTATTTGTGAGTTAGTAGTGGATGCGTCAAGCATGGGACTTTATAAAGGTAGGTTGAATTTATTATTGTGCTAATCAGGAAGATTGAGTCAACTTCTTTCCGTTTTAATCATTGTAAATTTGCTTGATTGATTTAATTAACCGAGTATAAAACATAAAAATAATAATCGCTAGGTCAACGTCGAGTATAAATTCCAATACATTTTGAAAATGGTATATTTAGATACATGAATAAAACATGTCTCTTCTGAAGGCAATGTCCTCGTAACAGATTAAATTATGCTGTGAATAATGTATAAGCTGTTTCGATTGAATGCGGTTATCAAACACATTTTCATTATAAATTTCACCTGAATATTTTCCCGTTGAGGCCGCCATCCTAGTCAAGCATCGCTTATGATTGCGGTCGCCTGTACTTTTTCAACAGATAGTTCGGATAATACTTTAAATTTATAATAATATGTTATAGAAATAGTAAGTTTCGTTATTATATGTATATATAATTAACACGTTGACATGAAGTTATTACTGACTGTATATTTTGTATCATACCTTACGTGTATATGTTCTTTGTTATTAAGTAATTGTGTTTGGAAAAATGCAGGAAAAAAAAATTGTGTGTGGATATTTTTATTTATCTGCAGAGTAAACTTCAACTCTTTTTTGAATGGTAAGAAATGATGAAAATTATAATATTCCTAAAGAACCAGCTGAGGTTTACCCAATTACCCCTCTGTATATAAAACGCGTTGTCGGGCAAAACTCGGGCAAGGTTTCGGGTTGTCAAGAACAACCCTTGTTCAGATGCTGCTTGTAAGTGTCGGCTTGCATTGTGATGTAGATATACAGTAGGCTTGCTTGTTTGTGTGTGAGAGAGAGAGGGTTGAGGAGTCCTCAAAAGGACTCTGACTCGGTAATCTTTCTTAGGGATGTGTAGTCCTGAAAAAGACTGTTTGTTATCTTTCTTAGCTTATAGTTCTAAGGAGAAACGACAACATACTACAACGCTCATGGATTGGAAACTCTCCTAAGTCCGCAACCCGGAGACTCCAGCCAAGACGGACAGTCAGACGTACCAGCCGACCATCCATGCCCACTCCCCGATGACTCAAGCTGACACGGTCACCTATTTTTCCCCGACGTCCGCACCCCGGTTACTTAAGCTCACGCACGCCAGCTATTCTCCACTCCTGACGACGGATAGTCAACCTGTTCGAAACTTCGAGCAACTCATCCTCTCCAAGCGCTATAGTTCTCCTTGGAACTATAAGCTAAGAAAGATAACAAACAGTCCTTTTCAGGACTACACATCCCCAAGAAAGATTACCGAGTCAGAGTCCTTTTCAGGACTCCTCAACCTCTCTCTCTCTCTCTCTCTCACACATGGTGCACCCGCAAGCCTACTGTATAACCTTTGTTCATGTGTAAATGGTTTTCATTCGCTATGAAAAGCCCTTTACAAATCATCCGTTTTGATCAATACTTACCCGCTTCTTCTTCTTTTTTTATATAAAATCTTACCTTCTTGTGTTATAAGTCTTTGATACGGCCTTTTCCTAACATATCATTTTCGTAATGCAATCAAATTTGTTGCATAAATCTTTGTTAAGTGCCATGTTACAAATCATTCTATTCAACTGTTATGAATAATTGTATTTCAGTATATATAGTCAATAGTAAAACTGCATACATTAGTTGTTGCTACGTAGGAAAAAAATGATGGCTTGTCATACCAAGGAATCCCAACTCCATGTTTACTCACATTCTTACATTTTATGCATACTTTGAAAAACAAAGGTTGTTCTTGACACTGAGGCTTGCCCGACATTTCGAGTATATTTTGTATAAAAGATGCGCTATATAAATCTATTATTATTATTATTATTATTATAACTCGTCAAGAGGCCCTAAGAGAAGAGAACGACCATTCATTTGAATGTGTTAGAAAATCGGTCTATTCGTAATTCGTAAAGAGGCGCTAGAAAACAAAAACAAAAACGGAAAAAGAAAACGCATGCATGATTGAATCTTATTACATTATGAAAATAGTCTATTAATACACTCGTCATGTGTTTGCTATATGATCTCTCATTGGCAATTTCATTCGATCTAGTTGTCCCTTTTTATAAAGGGAATTTATCTTGTAGTGATAAAGGAAAGAAATACTATCTGTCTCCTTCAGACAGCCAAAATAATTTGGGATTCAGTAAACACGATCGCAAAGACTTTCAAGCAATCAATTCAAGGGCAATTTCAAGACCCTATTATATTGACATTCGAAATCATATGCGGATTACGTAGCACGTCAATGCTATGTTCACAATCGTGATAGATTGGAAAGGTGATGCACAGGGATAATGAATTTGCCGAAGGTTGGGTTCTCAAGATTCTCTGCGATCATAATTTTATTTAATGAAATAAAATCGATAAAATTTGATGTTTTAACATGTTGATTCCATAATAGAATATTTTTATTATTAGATGCTCAATTACTTATTTCTATTCATTAAAAAATATATATTATTGAATTTAGTCGATTAAAACCCTAATAACTCAGTTGCGCCAACGAGACCGACACCAAACCGTTTTAACTCCTAGTTTTGACAAATCAAATGATAAGGTGTTCAATAAAAACTCCATTCCAAGCCAAGTTACTTTGTCATGTAATATATATATATTTATTTATTATGCAATATAAATACATTGTTTGATAATAATGAGAATCACAGTGAATGAGATAAACAGGGAACTCAGCTAGTACAAAAACGATCATGAAGAAAGACACATCATTTCACACGGTCCAGAAGAAATAGACTCTATTTTGACACTTACAAAACACATCGACAAGGTGACTTTCATGAAGTCTAGACTGCGTCAGTAGCTGCTATTTCTACTATATGATATCGTACAGCTTATGCATTATAAATTAGACGGTAACCATGGCAATCCAATTAATGAACTTTTCAAAACTGTTGATACTATACTTAGTGGAACATACAAGGCCACTGTATTTTTATAATTATTTTGATATGAGCTTTTATAGTTTCAACAGTTTCAACCGATCAGGCTTATCTAAACATGGGATGAGCCTGCGCAGATGATTAAACAATTATATAAAATGGCTACAATCGACTTACGTAATTGATAAAAGGTAGACTGGCAGTTATCATACAGTGCAACAGACATTGTATTAGGCCTATATGCCTTCACTACCATAACTATTTTGTGCGGTTAAAACAAAAAATAGGCTGTTCAATATCAAAGTACTACATTATATCTTGCAGCAATAATCTTGAAAATAACATTTGTTAGGCATAAAAACACACGACCAAGGTTATAATGTAACATTACCAAATTGTTCTAAAAATATTCTCTTATATTGACTTGTTAAATAGCACCAATATGCGCAAAGGATCTAAGCCCTACCATAGTGAGGTTGTATTCTATTATATAATTATATCAGAAAATATTTCAATTCAGCTAAACGACTAACAGATGCATTACTTTGCATAAGATAATGATACAATTGAGACCAATGCCATAAACTACAATATCGGCCAACACAGGATCTGCGATTTTAAAAATAAAGTCATGTCATCCTTACTTACAGCGCTCGATAAAATTACTATCATTTTTTTAAATATATATCACTGTTCATTGTCATGCTTGATTGCATAATAGGTTGCAAAGTGAAGGCCTCCGCAAAATATCAATAACACAACAAGAATGCGATTATTAGATACCTGATCGCAAAGAATTTCAATAAGTAAAAGTCAGTCAAATTCATTTTCATGAGTGTTTTAAAGGTAGTGTATTCTACTGACACAAACTCAGATCAGAGCAATCTATACACAGAGTTTGGTCAACTTTGTTTCATTGGGTCACAACGTGGTGTAGCCTATGTTCTTTTTTTTGTGTTTGCCCAACAAAGCAGTAGTCGCCATATTGTGTCCAACTCGAACCGGGTTGGCCAAACTCTGTGTATAGATGGCTCTAATTCAGATTAACGTATACTGCCATCTGCTGCTACCAATGTCCCGATGTGTCGACAGCAATGTCCCACAATGCAGCACCTAATGATGACGCTCGTGTGATGTTGCTAGGGTGCAGGACCCGGAAATCGCTCTATGTACACATTCATCCTGGTAGCGATGTCGGTAAAAATACCCTGCCTTTAACATATATGCAAACATTGTGATGACATATAACGTATTCTGAATATGAATTACTTAGACAACACAAAGCAGTATCGAAATTGACATTGAGTCTTGCGATCGTGTCTGTCACTCTCTCTTTGTTTTCCTTTGACAATGTGTGGATTAAGATATCGTATCTAATTCACAATAGCGAGATCGTAAGATTTAACCCGGAATTCATGCTACATCGCTGTATTTAATAAATCCCAATACATCCTAAAACCTGTCGTGTGCTCTATTGTTCAGTGTCCAGTTTATAGCACGTTGGACAAGAAAAATAAATAGTCAAATAGAACAGAAAGAATGTTCGAAGATAATTGACGGACAATGCAGTGGTTTGTCAGGTAATTGTTCCGCTAAAAAAGTTGCATTTGTTAAGACGACTGACACACATGATATTGCTATAGATCATTTTGTCACAACTTTGTAACGGCAAGGGCTTGTCCGTTGTCGCCCTCTTCGACCTCATACTCTTTGCACGAGTCGCAGGCACTATGTGAATCCATCTGCACGAGTGTTCAGCGAGTGCTGACGTCATACCTCCATCGCTTGTGACGTCACTTTGGACACTTTCTTGATTAACGAAGAGCCGTTTTTGAGTACTTTCTCCATTTTCAACGAGAAAAATCCCATCGAGCTCGCCATCTCCATCCCCGTCAAGATCATCGTCAGCTTGGAATACGGGATTGATTTCGCCGTAAGACACATCGTGATCGCTATCACCTATCGACGTCGATGATGACGGTTTTCTAGGTGATGGCGTCATTCGATGAGGATGAACGAAAACCCTGATTTGTGATGTCTCTTTACCGTCTGTTATCAAAGCTTTGTTGAAATCGCGATTGTCTCTGCCAATCGATAACCCATTATCGTCGTAAAGTGGGTCATTGAACCTGTGCTGCTGGACGTAAGGTGAATGACCTCCATTGCTGTGAACTATGACCTTTGGGGTCAAAGAGACGTTGTCATGAAAGTCGGGAGACTTGCCGTTGTTTTCCAAGATAGATTTACGCGATCTGCAAGGCAAGAAGAAAAAGTAAATGCAAAATTCTTATCATGACACAGGTAAATATTGAAACAACTTCTTATTTCATTGGGGGGGGGGGGGGGGAGAGGGATGTGTAAACATATCATTATTACGACAATGTTTAATGTAAGAAAATCGGTTTTGTTGATAAGAGAGAGAGAGAGAAAGATGGAAAGAAATACAGAGAGAGAGTGAGGGTGTGAAAGAGAGAGAGAGGGGGGGGGGGGGATGTGTAAACATATAATTATAACGACAATGTATGATGTAAGGAAATCGGTTTTGTTAATACGAGAGAGGGGGGGGGGGAGTGGGAAAGATATACAGAGAGAGAGTGAGGTTGCGAAAGAGAGAGAGAGAAAGAGAGAATACGTAAAAGTCTTCTTTTTTATTTATAGAATGGAGGATTTCTCGATGACATCAAACATAATGACAGCTTTCCTAATGGGGTTTTCTCAAATATGTGATCACAATTTGAATAGGATTGGGAGAGACAAAAAAAAATATAGCTTTATTTCTTCGCTACGTTTTTTTTCAAATTTTCACTAATTTGTTCAATGATTATTCAGATTATACTGAGGCAACTCATTTTTCTTTAATGAAGGTTAATTCTCCTTTAATGAGAAAACAATGTTGAAAAGCTCTGAAAATTGATGTTCAGTTTCCATTTAAAAGTCTCAGAGAAATGCTAATGTATCTCATTTAGAAATCGAATTACAGAGCGTTAATACGTCTGAGAACGGAAAATCTCCCAATTTTCGAAGGATTATTTGTCATTTTCTTTGTAAGACGGAACGGCAAAGAAATAAACATGACCTTGATGTTGTTATAATGATGAATGCAACCGAGAGAATTTATTACTCTAAAGATAATAATAATAATAATCCGTTTTTTTTTATATAGCGCTCAATACACGGATCCAACGATGCGCTTTACAGATATATTATTACCTCGGTCATCGGATTCAGGCTTACCCGCACACAATGTGTGCATATTTTCCACTCCCTGGGGAGCATTCCAGCCAGTCGCCATTTTACAAGCGCACACTTGCTCGTCCAACTACATGAACGTTCGCATCCTACTGGGTACCCATTTAACACCTGGGTGGAGAGTAGCAAATGCAGGTAAATATCTTGCCAAAGGATATTAGTGCCGTGTCGGGATTCGAACCCTCGACCTTCGCATCTACAGTCAAGCGCCTTAAACCACTCGACCACGACACTCCCAGATATGATATGATCTCCATCAAGTTCCACAATATGAAAGTATTGTACATGTATAAAACAACAACAGCTACAACTTCAACAAATCAAAAAGAAAGAAGCGATTTCAGACATCTTTGATCCTCTAAAATAGTTTGACATTAAATTTGTTTGAAATATGCCTTGATAACTGTCTTTCCTCTTGTTCATAGATGTCAATCATCCTCTTAGCAACCGTTTAAGAGATGATGCCACGCTGATTGCCTCCATTAAGTCTACAAAAGCCAATTAAATCTCTTTATCTTAATGTAAAAAAAACCCATTCTTTTTTTGCATAAACCGACCTACCGCACGATTACCGATACTATGATGAGAAATGAATATTTTAATGTCTTGACCACAATAAAGTGAAATGCGAATGGTCCAGTCCACCTGTTAGTGCAGGGTGTAAAGGGTGTGCGAAGGTGGCCTATCATATTTTCTCGACGTTTCCTTTCCTTTTTTCTCCTCCCCAATCTCCCCTATCACATTATCTTGTTTTTCCCAATTTTTCTCATGTTTCTCAGGAACTTGTTGTTTTTTGTTGTTTATTTATTTAAATACGGTGATTAAAAAACATGCTTTCAGCTTAGCATAGCTGTTTCAGCATGTCCGTACATGGTACATTAAAATACATATGCATAAACAGATAAAACACAAAAATTAAACAATAACAAATACATAATATAAAATAAGTAAATGTAAAGAAAGAAAAAAAAATACAAATTTAAACAAAATAAATATAATACAAAAGAAATACAAATGCAAGTTAAACAGAAGGGGGAAGAAAAAAAAAAAAAAAAAAAAAAAAAAACTCGTACATTGTGTCATAGTAAATTCGTAGTCTGGTCGTATTCAAGACGTAGTTAGGTCGTAGGTTAGGTCGTAGCTAGGTCGTAGTTACGGTGTAGCTTATTAAAGTAATGGTAAATTCGTATTCTGGTGGTACATTATGATATTCTCTTCAATACTGACCTTCTAAATGCAGCAGTTTCATTTGGCCCATGTAGCGCCATGTGGCGGGTTGAAAGAGGTAGAAGAATATCCTTCTTCCGATGTTCCTGACATCTTCTATAGCCTGCCACCAAGAGGAGAAGAAGAGACATTCCTACAAGGCAAGGCATGACGATCAGGATTGATGAGTCGCTCTGTATCGTCACGATCAGGTTGTAGGTATTTGAACCGGTATTTCTTGACCCTGTAATCAAGGTTGAAAAAGGGGAAAATGGGAGATAAAAGTAATATTAGTACTCGGTAATATTGCCTCAGAAACAAAATCCTGGATTTAGCTCGTGCTGCACTCGTAATTATAAACCTTAAGGTCAGTCAGGAACCCCATGACTTTTACAATCCGATCGCCTGTCTGAGTATCAAGATATGTATGATTGAAATTCGAAATTTCATTTTTTTTCCTAACGGTTTTTTATATAACACTACCGTCTATTGGGGGAAATAAGTATGGTTAAACCGGCCACTCAAAGATTTTTTTACTTTTTTGAGGTAGTTCATGATTATTTTTAGGCGCATTTTTTTAAAGGCTTCAATATTACACCATATCACAGACACTGATATTTGTTAATTGCTGTTATTGTACGACACATAAAACAAGAAGCGTCGCAATGTTTAAAATTTAAACCTGCGTTGCTTTAATCGTACTACGATGCAATATAAATTAAACCAATCATAAATTTTAGTTACATATTTTGTTGTTTCTCTACTTCATAAAGATAGATTATAAATATTTAAATTTCGCATCCATTAATATCTTGCATTGAATACAATAAAACAATAATTGTATTTACTCTAAAACCACTACTTCCAATAGCAAAGAAAGAAGACACACACTAACAAACAAATGCCATTGCAGGTAATGTCATATTTTGGCGGATTGAGCACGTTTCCTTTTAGTTGTAAAGGCCGAAGAAGATTCAATCATCATTCATCATCATCATCATCACACGATAACGATCTCATAAGGAAATTGACCTAATGCTTTCAGATACGGATAGGTCACGGAAAAAGCAAACTGCCTATTCTGCACGCATTTCAATTTAGGACCAAATTACCTTGTCCTAAAGAGCTTGAGGTTATTGTCTGTTTAAATAATTGGAAACCGGTAACGTAAGGCGATACGTGGTGCTAGTCTGATCCGATCGGCGCCATCTAGACGAATCCGTTGAGATATGATACAGGAAGGGATTGGGTAAGGGAGGGGGGGGGGGGGGGGTAGGGGGTAGGGCTACTGGGGGAATCCCCCGAAAGACACTACAGTATGAACTCTGCTTCCAAAGTAGTCCTCTGTACCGTTTTCGTTTAGCGCACCCAATCAGCTGATAAAATAACACACCCTCAACGTTGAAAGTAGACCTAGCCATTCCTCTAAATCTGGTTCGTGTGGACGGAAATTTGGGGATTGCGCGATCAGTGGAGAGACCGCGCTGTGTGTGGGGGATAAAAAGAACGAACGGACTGAATCTGGACTACTTCCAAAGTTGTGTACGCATACATATCTCAATACCCCTTCTGGCTGACATGCTAATAATATACGATTGCGGTTTGTAAAACAAATAATAAATTACCTTGTTAGTGTGAGTTATTTTTTTGTTCTTCATTTCTTTGTATATATGCCTTTGTCATTAATATACCTCTGTTTCTTTTTTTACTTAAGTATTGATAAAGTGATGTACCAACAATGAGGTAGTATTTATTCATCATTTTAAAGATTCTGACGGGATTTTTTTGATTCTCTATTTTGTTCTTTCTCTTTTACATGATACATTATATTACTATATGTATTATGTCATGTTATTACAAAAAGAAAAAAAGAGTGTTTCTGCTGAATATAATTTCCTTCTGTTTTGCTATAAACACTGCATTGTAAATTGGTTTATACGGTATATATATTTACAAACAGAATATTGATTTGTTACATTACATTGTAAATTGATTTATATGTTTATAACATAAACAGATTATTGATGTACATCAATGAAGTTTAATAAATACAATACAATACAAAACATGATTTCTCCCGAGATTTCTTGCATTACTCTAATGTTGAATGTTTCCAATAACACGTAATGTTTCTGCCACTACCGTACATGTCATTTAAACGCATATTATAAATATATTCTCGCAATTCGCGGCAAGTACAATATATGATTACTCGCACACTAGACCTTAGAGCATGGACGGGTAAGGCAGACGGCAGCCATCTATAATACTCCCATGAAATATTCATAACTACTCTGCAAGTCAGTCGTAAAACTCTCGCTTAGGATGGTGAAAGACATGAGCCTTAATTGACATCGTAATTAATTGCGAGTGCTTTAATATCTCATCGGTCTAATGGATTATTAGTGAGGTAATGCTAGGGTAATGTAAAGGACGATGATATGCCCTAATAGGCACGAGATAGACCTTCGTTTTGGTGATCAGTATCGAGAAAAAAAATGAAAAGAAAAAGAACGAGAGAAGGATAGAGACATGCGGGTAAAGCACGGCAACTTAACATTTCTTTTATAATTGTGAAATCAGTGCATCAATCTGGAATAAAACAGTGAAATGGATACATGAAGGTTCTCGAGTACAGATAGAGTTTAATTTAGAAAATGTAATTTTTGATTTTGAAGGCAATAGAAACGATGCTTTTAAATTGCATGGTGACTTTGATTAAGCATCAACTATTCGTACCAAAGCTTAATAATTATTTTTCAAATTTGAGTTCTTTGAAGAAGACAATTATTCAATATTATGAAGACGAGAGATATATTCATTCAATATCTGGTATGTATAACATTTTAAAAAGTAAATGGCAGTCACTTCAACATTTGTTTGTATAAACAACAAGGAGAGAAATGTGCACGATTTAAAAAAAAGTGTGAGTTAAAGAAAGACTTAATATCATTGAATTGTAAAATGTTTTGTTTGACTCGATAATATAGCCTATGGAGGGCTAAAACGTTAACAACAAATGCTTTATAAGGGTCATACTCGGTCGGGTTTCATTCATCTTACAAGACTAGTGCCCTCTTTGCTTGAAGATGATGATCACAATTAGGCTACAAGATACTGCCTTTTACATGTCATAAGTTTTCTGTATCTTTATTGATTCTTCGTAACATCGAAGTCACACCCAAAGTAGAGTTTGTTTTTCTGATAAACGTTGACACCTTTACGTGGGTTATGATCGCTTGCAACTGCAATAAGCCAATAGTTAATCCACAAACGACCACACCCTTATTCCCAATAATAAATTTGCTAGTGTGAAAACAATAAAGCATTTCCATGACAACCAACGTCAACTAAGCCATAAATAATTGAACTGCTAATCAATATATAAATACTTAATTATCATGGAAAAGCCCTTCCCTATCTGCAAAAAAAGAAGACTATCCTACATCCTACTTTAAAAATGTGAACTCACGGGTGATGTACATTTTATATTGCCTTTAGAGCCTTGCTCGGGTAACCTTAATTTCTGTAATCATTGCATATTTCAGAAAGGTAATGGGCAAAGCTATCACAATTGCCTCAGGTACATTTTTGGGAAAGCATTTGCCATAGGTTATAAAAACAATACATAATTTGTCGCTACGGGGGGGGGGGGGATTTAACACTCTCATAAAAAATGAACCAGCAAATTAGCTTAATTAGACATTTCAGAGAGAGAGAGATTAATTTCAACCACGTCATTTTAATTCAATGTGCAGGGAAGTATATATATTTTTAAAGGGTGAGGAACTTTATAAAACGAACACGATGCAATAATCAATCAATAACATTGTGCGTCAGCTAAGGACAATTCGATCTTTACAATACTAAATTATTCATAGCCCAATGATGGTTTTTGTGTTTTTCGTAACTCAAAGATGAAAGGTGGACTGGTTGAATAGAGGCCTTTGTTGAATACTTGTGGGTGTAAGTTTTTAAATGTCACGTTATCAAGAAACAGGGTGCTGTTATTGCCTTTGGGTGGACTTTATGCAAGTCTCTGCGATCGTGAAGTTAAGATAAAGAAAGGAGATTGGCAAAAGAAAGGAATACACCATAGAACTATAAAGTACATTTCACGAATTTAAAGTAGAAAAGAATCAACTTGATAGTTCGGTCAAAATTCGTAACGAATCAACAAACAAATAAAACAACAAAAACCACAAGACTGAACAAAAATCTTCTTTCATGTTTCACATCATCATTTTCATTATAAAACTTGTCATCAGTGACAAATAACAGTTTTTGTTATTCGCTAGTGAAATCCTTACTTCTGATTGCATGGTTATCAGCAGATTTGCCACTGATTTGTGTCATTGAAAAAAAGGCTTTGTGAAACGGTTCCCAGGAATATGTCCACGATTGCCTTTTTTCGTCGGTGGCCTCGTCATTCTACTTAATTGATCTGCTTTGAGTGAGGACCACACCCCGAATAGAATTATATTAAACCAATATACGAGGGTAATGATACCACTTTATAATGTAATAACCCCGTTTCACGATACCAGTAAATTAATATGACCACAATAATCTACCGTTGAAGTGGAAGTGGTCGGCCACACCCTTATTGATTGACAACCCACTCTGTAAATACTGTAGGTAGGCTTACTCATAAATACGGTCGATGGTCGAACAGAATTATGTAGAACACACACACACACACACACACACACACGCACACCCACACCAAGCATTCTCATGTGCTCACACACACGCACACACGCGCGCGTGTACTTAAAAACACACATACCCACACCAAAACACCCTAATGTGTCTACGATCACATCACACACACCTACACCAAAACACCCTTACGCGCCCACACACTCACACGCACGCACATACATACACACACACACACACACACACTCACATATTCTCTCAATTCATATCGCATTATATATATTGACTTGGTAACAAAATATCCAAGATATGAGAAAAAAGTAATAAATAATGCATTTCATGAAAACTATTGTTTGAAAGTCGCAATATTCGAACTTGATATCAAAAACACTACCCCGAGTACAAAAATCAACATAAATTTATTATAAAGTGACCTGCATCAAAATAAAAATCTTAAAAGTAAAGAACAGTTTATACAGATCAACATAGGAAGAGTGTTAGCTTATGAGTCTTAAAAAACAGATAAGAATACCTCCACTAAATGTGACTTAAAAAGGGGCCATATAGTCGACGAAAAAC